CAGTATATCTCACCATTAGCAGGATTTGATTCACAACAATTAGCCAAGCAACAGCAAGCTCTTATCCTCTTTCTTCCGTTATTCCCACCCCTGATGTTTGGGAATCAGTACCCTGAATCCTCTGGGCTGCCTCACTTTCCTACATGTTTCCCATAACTCGCTCTTCAGCCTCAAGTTCTTTTGTCACTGCTTCTTATGAGCTATGGCGCTCTGTCCTGTAGTATTGTGCTTGGAAATGGACACAAGATTTCAGTCTTTGCTCTATTATGCAGGGCCTCATACAAGCAGGTCCACGCTGGAGCTCTGCATCGTCTCTCAGGAAGAGCTTGCTCTCATGTGTAGGTCACTGTCCCAGCACTCACCAGCCTTACCAGGTAGACAGCAAAAAACAGCTCCTCACTCACCTGAGAAGATATAGTTGTAGCCAGTGCGCCCATAGAGCTCTCCCCAGCCAGCCAGTGTTGCTGATCTGCAAATATGCTGGAGAAAGATTTTTTTATTAACCACGCATGCTCCAGAAATCTTTCCCTTATCAGGTCTCTGGCCTTTTTGCTGTCACGTTACATAGAAATGGTTGGTACCTACAGCTACTGCTTCTCAGCAACCCTGGTCCAGATTGAGTTCTCCAAATACTTCAAGCTCCCAAGTGCCTTCATCTGTAGTTGGTTTTAAAATCACATTTTCATCTCCAGTTCTCCAATTCATTAATACACTCAATTCCTGCCAAGTTAGCAACATCCGTGCTCTGTTAATACCCTGCTTAAGCCTTATTTCCATGTTCCTGGGGGTAAGATTACAGACGGTCCCAGTACATCTCTGGGCAGTTCACTCCTGCAGAAAATGGTCAGCAGGTTCAGCCCACGATGGCTTCAGTCAAGCTAGATTAAAATTGTCACAGGTACGATTTTGCTATTCATACAGTGTTTCTAAATTGAACTAAGAAAACTGAATTAAGCTGCTTAAATTCTAAATGAGACTACTCCTACAGGGCTTCAATATGGTTTAAGCAATCCACATAAAAATGAACCTAATTTCACTTTCTTACAGATCCCCTTGCAGACAAGCCCACACAATCCTAAAACCATTTATGCAATGTCGCCTCCCTGGGGAACAGACAAGGGAAACTTCTCTTTAGGGAGAAAAGTTATTCAAAGGGAGCTCACTACTGGGAAGAGTTAAGGGGCAAAAAGTGACAATAGTTGTCTTTCCCCTCTCAAAGACCAAATATCTTTGGTCCTTCAGAAGGGACACACACACAGAGAAAATGTTAGCTCTTTGGTGCAATGCTCATGACATGGTGGGGTAAAACAGCCTGAAGTCCCCACAGATGATCTATGCAGCCTAGACAGCAAATGCTACCTACTACCACAGGCTGCCTGCTTGTACCTAAAACCAGATTTTTACAGCATTCGAAAAGGTGACAACCAACTGAAGATGTGGCTGCACAGTTCAAACAGCAGAGAGAAAGGTCATTTTCTAAGTTAAGACAGGTAACCCATGAAGCTTTACCTTTCCCTTGTATAGAATGACTGGGCAAACAAATCGTCCTCTACACCTCGCCATCTTACTTCGGTTGATAAGGTCCTGCAGTTTGCCAACCTGCACAGTGCTCTCAAACCTAGTGGACAGAGATTTGGTTCAGTACACAGAGCATCTTCTCGCACGTCTTTCAGTGAAGCTGCTACAGACACCCTGGGCTGTAATCCCCATCCCTTTCATCTAGAAGCCAGCTCTGAAGTTAGCAAGCAAGAAGACATTTCTTTAAGAATTGTTTCTGCTGTTATACAACACGTATGGATGCTTTTCTGTCTCCTTTTCTTTATTTTGAAAGACCAGCTGCAAGATAAATGACAGTGAGCATCTCCAGAAGCTGGCAATCTGAGTACCGTCAGAATGGTCTGCTACAGACTAACACACGGATTGCTAATGAAGGACCACCAGAGCAAGCCAGCGCCGATAAACATGTATGTTCTGCTTTCCTCCCCACCACCTTTCCATCAAAAAGAAGCTCAGCACTACCATCAGAGTGAATTCACTATCAGAGTGATAATTTTGCAAGGAAAAATAAATAGAATAGAGAACCAAAGCTTGAACACTCAATGAACCTTAGTTCTGGTCACTTCAGCATTGTGTTGCCGGGTAGACAACTGTCTGTAAATCTGCTAGTGGGCCGAGCATTTAATCACTTGTCTGTGTAAGAGTTATACTAATTAATTAATGTCAGCTGCATCTGTGTAACTAAATTTTGTTTTCTGGTTACAGTTAAAACAGAAATGTGTTCCAAGTTGGAGACATTTTAGAAACAAGTTAAAATTGCTGCAATTTGTCCAAGTACCAGTCTACATTTTATAGGAATCCAAACTGACTTCTGAACTACACAGACCTCCAGGAGGAACCGTCAATGCAGGGAGGACTAGAGTTTCCACAAGGAATTGGAGAAGCATCCAGACTGACATAACAGAAAGCAGACGAATTCTGGACATACAAAACTGCATGGCCATGCACTTAGAGATGATTAGCAAGAATTTCCAGTAAGCCCTTTCCAGTAACGGAGCTCAGCAGAAGAGCCTAGATGAACTGGTTGATCTCTGAATGCTTGTACATTATCAACATGGTAACTCTGAAAAAAAGGACAAATAAGATCACAGGAACATCTCCAATGGGATGGAGAAGTACCAGCATTACTGTGCAGAGCACAAGATCTCAGCTGAGGCAAGACATCTGATTCTAGGGACCTACCCATACCTGAACAGGCACAGCCAGATGATTAGGATGGCCAGAGGACAGTCTATGCTGCAAGAGAAACCACCACAGACTGACTGGAAGAGCAGATGAAGATGAAGCGAGGACAAAATAACATATGGATTAGAGTGAAGGAGAGAACTTACAGTGGAGGTGGAGAAAAACTCAAAGGCAAACAACAATGCTGGCCTAAGAACAAATTAATACCTTTATGCTGGAAGTTAGAAGAAAGTTGCTAAGCTTCAGAATCAGCTGCAACCTACCTGCAGCTGCCATTCTGCAAAGGATTAAAAAAATTAATCTACTACTAACATGGAAATTGATCTGTTTATGGAAAAGATTATACAAGGTGGTGCCAGTGGAAGCAGGGAAAGAACAAACAAGACCTTCAAATCCTACTTTTTTTTTTTTTTTTTTAAAAGGATTCAATTCTCAGAATTCATAGTGGAGGCTTAAGATTTTTCACATACACAACTATTTTGGCTGTTCCAGATCCAAAGAGCTTTGACAGATACCAGCATTTAAAGAACAAGAACTCAAGCTAATCTTCTTTAAACTTTGTGGACATGAGGGTGCTAAGTGCAAAGACAGGAAAATGCCAAGACAATATACTTTACACGGGAGTATGTGAGGCTGTGTGCAGGCAAGAGACGCACACGCCCGACCACTGCAACCCAAACTTCACTCATCGCTGTCACTGCAAACAGTCAAGAACTCCGCTCCGCAGTCCGCTTCCCTCCTCAGAGAGCATTCAAGTAACACACACCGCAGGAACAGCCTAAAAGCAGTTTGAGAAGAGATGCCTTTGCGTACAACTCCCAATACTGAGTTATTTTGAAACTTTGAGAGGTCTGATGTACAGATTTGCTTGTGGTCTTGTTTTTAAATGAATGCACACAATTAAGAGACATGTCCTGCATTCTGGTTCTGCTGCCTTTGTTTCCTTTGTAAAAGCAAATACAGAGCAAAACAAGAACTTTAACATGGTGTCACCAGAATAGCTCTGTGTCACTGCTTCTAAGCGCAGAAAATGGGATTTGGCAAAAACCAAATGCCTGAAAGAACAGAAATGGTAAGAAAAACACCTCCCCAAGAGCTGAGAAAAGCCAACAGGTTTCACCTCTCAGCACACTAACTGCACGTCCCCAGAGAGGCGTCACAGCACTGGGCAATGAGTCTAAGCAGCCTGGCAGGAACCTGGAACACAGGGTGAGCAGGAAGCCCAGTGCCCCACTGGGGCCAAGGAAGGATGAGTCCCTCTCCCAGGCTCCTGTGCCTGTTCCCCGGAAAGCCTGCACACACATCGGAGAGACCTGCTCTGCTATCCGTCACGACTGTGCTACAAACAGGGCTCTTGGACCTTCTCGTCTCAAGAACCATCATCAGTAAAGCTAAACATGAGCTAGAGATAAACATGGCAAGTTGTACTGAGACTACTGTAGTGAAGAGAAAGGCTGCTCCGAAGAACACGTGCAATGGTCTTACATGGACAAGTGATTAAATGCAGCATAGGTAGGAGTAAAAGCTACTGAAAAAGGTTCAGAAAACAGCACTCTTCAACAGCAGTGTGAAAGAACATCATTAAGGCTGCTTGGGACAAGGTAAAGAATGAGGTGGAAGGAATGATGTGTATCTTAACTCTTTACTTTTGGCTTTTGGGAGTTTGGGCTTTTTTTTCTTCTTCAGAAGTTTTTTTTTTCCAGAAGATACGGCTGGGCAGCCTTACCTCTGTATTAACTCCCCACCCACCTTCCTCCCAAAATCAGACCCCAAATGTGAATTCATCTTTTTAAATACAAGGGAAACATTTCCTATAAAAGCAAGCAACTGTTTTGGCAACTGTATATTTCATACAGGCCTGAAGCAGAGATGCTCCTCTTTGGGTAGCCATAACAGCACTGGAACCAAAGCATTCCTCTCACATTGTTAGACTATGTGCAACTCTAATCATATTTGTTTGGAGTGCAGACACATAACAGGATCATTGGGTGAAACCAAAGACGTGGCCTGTGCCCAAGATGTGGACATTTTCATTAAGCACAGTAACTCTAAGACAGCAAGTAAAGAACCTCTGTTTCCATTCCCTACAGCATCTGCCTGCTCCTTCTGGGGGGACATCAGAGCTCTCCAAGCACAGGGAAAGTGCTCCCAGCTAGTCAGACGTGCTCTGTTACTTTCTGTGGCTCCTCGTAAGCTGCACCTGACCAAGGGGCATACAGCTACCTTGGTTGATAGCCAAAAACACAAAGCAAATTCCTCCTGCTACCTCCTGCATCTGCCTCGATTTCAGAGTACTGCTAGCAAGGTTTGATGAAGCAACATCCTGTCTTCCCCCAGCTGCCCAGCCACAGAATAAACAGGATCAGGAAACTGATCTGGGTTAAAAATACCCATTTTTTGCTGGTTCCCTGCATGGCTTCAGAAGCAGCTGTACCAGCAGAACCAATGGGGCAGTGCAGAGTTTTTGTGAGAACTGTTTCCAAAAAACCTTGGTATTCTCAGAGGTGTGAAGTGTCCTGCGTACTTCAAGGAGATCTTACCAGCTGATTAAGAACATCACAAAGATGAAAGGCAGCCAAAGACACTAGGTCCTAGAGGGAGTGTCCCATTCAGTGGAAGAGGTTCTTGCATTCCCTAACACAAAAAGTGCAACAGTCACTATTTCGCAAGTATTTCACAGAGTACAACGGTGCAACTAAAAATGGGATTCTTGAAAAAATTATTTAGCAGCTTTTACAGAGATTATCACCCAGAAATCAGGAGGAGTGGGATGATGAAAGGTAGTCTCTTTCTGCGACTCCCTAGGAGAGCAAATCAAGGCTTGGAAAGAATTGCTATTTAAAATGTCAATTGCCACTGCTCGCCTGCAAAAGTCCCAGAAGAAAACAGGGCACTAAGTGTAAGTACACTTGTTTTGAACACTCATCAGAAAAATTAAGCATTCTTTGCTCTTACAAGAACAGAAAAAGCAGAAGCATTCAGTTTCTCTTCCCTAAAGATGCTGCTAGTTACATTTACAGCTTCAGACTTCAGTTTCCCCTTTTTTTCAGCACCGCATTTAATCTTTCCTGATCTGATCTAACCTTCGAGCATCCTCCCACCTGATGATCTGTTTTCGGAAGATGCCCTCCTACAGCACTCGGCCCATGTGCCAGCAGAGCTGCTGACAGTTTGCCTTCCTCAGGCAAAGCAGCTGGACACATCACTGCCACAAGGGGAACACGGTGTCCACCGTCCTTTTGAATGTGTTACTCTTGTCATAGACACAGTTAAGACTGCAAAATTGCATTATGTTTTGTTGGAAGAGAAAATAAAAAATGAGAGGCTGATGTCAGAGCTGCAGGGAGCAGCTAATGCTCAGCCAGAAGCAAGAGCAATGTGGTTCTGAGCTTGTGGGTCAAAGTCCAGAAATGCGTTGGCTTAGATTTGCACTAAACTGCGAGCAAGCATTCCCCGTTAACTCACTGAACCTCAGCACCCGCTGACCCACGTAGCATGGTGAGGGCAAACTATTTCTGTTGAGATTGTCTCGTCTGCCCAGCCCCTATCAGCCCCCCTCACCCCGAGATACTTTCCAGACTAAAATTTCTCTACTTAGAAGCCTTCCAGCAAGAACACAGGCACTTCATCAAGACAGGGAGAGCATCGCACAGTCCTGCTCCCAACTTTTTGAGTCTCTGGGCAAGCAGCAATCGTTAGGATCCAACGCCGTGCTCAGGTCCACTCGAGGACGGCACACAGCGGAGCTGGCGCTGCCCCGGAGCACCACGTTTCCTTCGCGCCCCTCGAGTCACAGGCTTAGCTTAGCAGCTTTCACCGGGGAAGCCCAGGAGACTCGGGGAGCTCGGCAGCGAAGCGCAGCCCCGGCA